CCCAAATCAGTTAACCATTTCTTAATCATGAATAGAATATAATACTATGGTAATTTTCTGAACTCTCAGATAAATCAAAAATTTTGAACCAAAAACAAAATACGCACATGACTGGGCTAATAGCTAAAAGTGATCTCTCTGATTTGGATCTCTTCAATAATCCAGAAACTGAAAGGTTTAAATGGAAAATACATTTAAAAACTCATAATAATTGAACCTTTTCAAATTTTTATACAAAATATACATTTCCAATTTGGGTGTTAAACTTATATTTGATTTAACTATTGAATCAAAAAGCTTAAAATATATAATGGCACTAAACACACCTTATACAATTTTCCAGTAATTAAATTTAATTTAAAAAAGAAACATTTTTTGCCTGATTGATAATCTTTGTGAGATTTGTAAATAGATATTCTATTTTTGGAATAAAGTATTCTTTGGTGTAAATTAAATTTTTTAACCCATCCTCCACAAGGTAGGCAAATCATAAGACTTCCTTGTGCCTTTGGCCATTTAAGATTTTTTTGGCTGTTAATGTGTGTGTTTTGGAAGAATATGATTAAGAAAGAGCATTCATATATTTAATGAATATTTCTTTTTAAATTTTAACCAGAATTGCAGCCAAACAAAACTTTCTTAAAAAAAAAAAAAGTAGAACAAATATCATTTAATCATCATAATATCAAAAATAAAATATAAAAGTTAAAATGTAATGTAAATTACTTTTATTATGACAATGAAAACAAAAAATACAATTACAGTACATTCATAATCTCAAAATATCAATAAGTATTCATCTGTGATGCAAGAAAGCATAATCAACTCAACAGTACAATCACATTCCATTTTGGAACATATTAACCTAAAGATGATCTATGTAGAATGAAAATGTTTGTATTTTAACTGCATTAAACTATACTGGAATTTCATTTATAAGGTTCACAGGTTTGTGTTTTTTATGACATTAATCCAGTCATACAGTGTTTGAACAATCAAATTAAATATGAAATTAATTTACACAAAAAATTACAAATATATATGCATGAAATATATATTTATTTATATTTGTGTGTGTGTGTGTGTGTGTATATATAATAGGTAAATAATACGTTACTTCATATTAGTTTTGACTAGTACCTGTTATCATAAATGTAAATTAAAATTATATATAGTACAATCCAAAAGTTCGGGGACTTGGCTTAAAATTCCTTACCTTAAAAAGTTTATATTGCCGATGCATAACCACCTTTAAAGTAATCACCTTGGGCAATGATACACTTTTGCCAGCGCTCGTATAACTTCTGGAAGCACTGCTGGAAGCCATTTTTTTTAAATTTGTCGTAAGGCCTCCTGCGATGCTGCTCTCACCTCACCTGATGACACAAAACAGCATCCCTGCAAATGCTTTTTCATTGATGGAAACAAATAAAAATCACATGAGGCTAAGTCCGGTGAATAGGTGGGCTGTGGAAGCACATTAATTTCAGTTTTGACGAGAAACTGTGCGACCATTTGGGACCGATGTGCAGGTGCATTGTCATGCAGAAGGTAACAGTCTCCACTTTGACAGATCTTTGGCCATTTACGACAAATGGATTACCTCGAACAACATAAAATGTCTAGATAATGCTCCTTGTTTACTGTTCTGCCTTCAGGAATAAATTCTGAATGAACAATTCCTTGAGAATCAAAAAAACACCACCATCATGACTTTTCCTTTGCTCGGTGCATGTTAAGATCTTCTGTTAAAATACGCTGGCAACTAGTCTTTGATAAATGAGTAGCCGCAGCGATTTTTTTGAGGGTTTGGCAACAATCTTTGCAAACACATTGAGAGACCAACTCAACATGTTCCTCGTTCCGTGAAGTCGAAGGTTGTCAGAGCGTTTATCATCTGTGATGGATTCTCGGCCCTCTTTAAAACGCCTTTGATTTTGCCATGGTAAAATCACCGTACACCTTTCTTAGCAATTTTAGTCTCTGTAGGTGTTTTACCTAAACACTGACAAAATTTAATATTGCAGCGCTGTTCTTGAAATTCCATTTTTATTATGTCACAAAACAAAGGTAACTATCTCTGAAAGAAAATAACAGCGCTCTCGGTTTAATCACGTGACATGGGCGAAACCAACCTGAACACAGGAAAGGTATGATAGAATCAATTTCATACTCTGTAACTTCAAATACATGCTTTTGTTGTCATACATTACTGCAGTCTCCGAACTTTTGGATCATACCACATACCTTTCTCATGTTTTGTAGATATCTATCTTAAATCAATATTTCTGCCTCATTAACAATTATTAAATTTAAGAAATTAAACAGTTGTAGTATTCTATCAATAGCAACTAAAAATTGAAAAAAAAAAAAAAAAAAATATGTTGATATGTGTAGTCAACATATCTGTTTAACTCTAAACAAAATCGACTTAGTCCATTTGAGACAAAATCAGCAAAAACTGTAATTTTAGTTTTAAAGATTTTATTGTTTCCTATGTTGCATAAATAGTATTGTCTACTTTTAACAAACATATCGCTACTTTGGAAGAAAACCGTCACAACTCAAAATTACTAGTTTTGAAAAAATCCCATACGAAGATTTAATCAAAGTTTAACTGAATATCACTTATCACCCACATGACTGCTTCCTAGTGGCTGAATATGCAAGTTACTTTTGTGACACTCTTCCACATAAAAATTTACTACATTTTTGTTTTGATTATGACATAATCAAAAAATCTTGTCAAAACTTTATTTAATTGCATGAGTAATTATATGTATATAGTTATTTTTAAACACTGGAACTTCTTAAGAATTTTGTTTAAATCTAAATATGACTGGTTCTCTAAATGTAAAGACGGGTGTCCAACATTTTTGGTTTCACATTGGAAGAAGTCATGGAGTTTTGGGCCACAAGTATATTATGGCCCAATCCTTAAATATACTTGTATATTTAAGGATTAACAAGTCTAGATTATAGTAATAAGTATTAAAACTTTATTACAAAAAAGGATATTTTAAAAAATTACTTGTACAGACACTTTCACTTTTTACTTAGAAATAAATAAATTCATTTATTATAAAGGAGACAGACAAAAATTTATCTGAAAAACACAAATATTTGTTTTATTTGGGTCTCTAATTAATAAAAAAAAAATGACAAAACACCATTTTAAAGTGCATTTTTATTCAACTAATATATTTATAAATAATATGTAGCCCAAAAAGTAGCCAATGTGCCAAATGATATTTTCTATGCCAAACTAATAAAACGGTAGCCAAATCTTGCAATGCTGGAAGAAAACTAAATAAAGCTGGAGTTGGGACTCAAAGGATTATAGACCCAAAAGTGGGGAAAGGAGAGAAAGGACAGAAGATAAAGAAGTGAGGAAAGTTGGAAAATTAAGGGTCAATATTTGCATAACAAAGTAATATTTAACCTTTCTCACTACTTTTTATCTTTGGCCTTTCTCTCCTTTCTCCAAATTTGAGTCTATACTCCTTTCAGTCACAACTCCAACTTTATTTAGTATTCCTTCCTCATTCACACATTTCCAAGTATTTGAAAATATTTCCTATCCACTCAAAAATAAAATATGTATAAAGGTTTATGGCTTTGTGAAACCTCTTTTTGAGTTTGTGCCGTTGAAATAAATAAAATAAAAATGAATTTGTCAGTTTTGTTACACGTTTATTGGGCTGCATTGGAACTTGCCTTGGGCCGCATGCGGGCCATGAGTTGGATACCTCTGAGTTAAGAGTACTTAATTTTTTGTTAATTTATTACAGATATTAAAGCAGTGGTTCTTAAATAACCAATGTTCTACAAGTCTACCTCGAGTGTTCCGTGAAAGAAAAGATTTTAAAGTTTTTATTCAAATTTATTCCCATTGCTATATTTGCAGATAATTTCATGTTTCTATTTTATTCAATATATTAAAGTTTATTAGTTTAAATCTTCATTGTTTCCTGAGAATAGTAAACTTGGAATTGCTTATCAATTTTTGAATGTGTTGATTCTAATGTTCTGTGTAATAAAAAGTATACAAATGGTGTTCTGCGGCCTCAGAAAGGTTGAGAACCACTGTATTAAAGGTTATTATTTTGTTTTGAATTTTTTTATTTAATGTTTTTAATTTTTACATTTCCTAAATTTAAAAATCTGTTGTTGATACTTTGTTCTTTTAAACATTAATAAGTGATTTATTAAGTAATTTTATTTAATAATTAGAATCATGTTATTTTCTTTCAAAAAAATATATACAATAAAAATTTGAATAATAGGAAGGAATTGAGGAGTTAAAAAAGTTTGTTCTTATATTGTAAAAATTCTTCTCAAAATATTGTGCAAATATTATATTATTATTATTATTTTTTTTTTTTAAGTAAAAAATTAATTGAAATTTCTTTCAGTAATTTCAATCAATTGATCTAAAATTGATTGAAAATTATTCTTTTAGTATATTGATGTATTATTTGAATCTACTTTTCTTATTAAAATATCTAAAAACACAAACTGTCTTTTGGTGTTAAAGTTGTTTACTTGCAAAGTTTTTAATTACTGTACAAACAAGTATTTTTGATATTTCAAAATGTCATCTTCAAATTGAGAGTAAAAAATGAGAACAACCATTTTTTAGTTTCCATAGTAAATCAAAATATGCTCTTTAATGAAGACAAACTTAGATTAAGAATAAATGTAATTAAAAGCTTTTCAGGTAAACAGGTTTAATGCTGAAAGACAGTTTGGTTTATTCTTAATCTAAGTTTGATATTGTTAAAGAGCATATTTTTATCTATTTAAAAACACTTTTGACCAATTAATGAGAGACAATTAGTCAATTTAATACGATTTTCAGAACCATAAATTTTGATGATTTATTTACTTTTTAAAATAATTTATCTTACTAAAGTAAACTGATCAATGTATTGCTTACAATGAAAAAGTTTATAGTTTGTTTTAATATTTATTCATTATATAACTTAATATTTAAATAGGTTTTTGCGTGGAAAATTGCTGATGATTTATTACACCATAATGTAGACCTAGAATCATGTTATTTTGCCGCTCAAACCATGAGGACAAAGGTAGATATTTAACATTATTTTGAAATTAAATATTTTTGTAGCCATATAATTAATTTTAAAATAATTCTGTCAGATTCAATATGCGTTTCACGAACTTCCACCGGAATCACATCTGTCTTTGAGGGATTCCTTGTTGGAGCACATCAGTCATGTCTCTCAAGAAACAGCTTCTGTTATTGTCACACAGGTAACATTATTCACATACTTTAACTTATTTGCATTAGTTTTTTAATAATATATCTTAATTATTTTCCTTTAGTTGTGTTTGGCATTAGCTGATCTTGCACTGCAGATGGCAACATGGAAATCTCCAGTTTCTGATTTAATTGACAGGTGAATTTATATAGATATAATATGATTTTATTAAATTTGATGTTATATTTAAGAAACTATCTGCAAATTATTAAACTTTTTAAAATATTATTATAGATTTGGAAATGCAACCCATCATCTTCCTGTACTTCTTGAAGTTCTTACTGTTTTACCTGAAGAGGTAATTATTTTTATAGAATTGCAATTTTTTTCCTCGAGTACCATATTCATTAAAAACAACAAATCAGACAAACGAACAAATCCAAATTTAAGAAAACTTCATAAAACTGATTATAAAATATTTCAAAAAGTTATTTTTAATGTTTATATAAACTGATTTATCATTTAAAATTTTTAAAATACTTTAAATGTATCAAAAACTTCTGTTGTGATGATATGATATATTTACATTGTAATTCAACCAAATGTAAATATTTTAAAATAATCAGTGCGTTTTTTTTTATATATTAATTTGGCGTGTTACCTTTCCTATTGATTAATAATCAGTGCATTTCATGCATATACCATCTCTTGTTGAAATATTGGACTGATTTTTTTATAAGGTTGTTTGATTTTAATGTCATATGTTATCCACAATCCTTAAATGAGATGCAGCCTCTTGTCAAAACAGATTCAATGCCGTGACACACTAGGCAATTTCTCACCCTGGAGACATGTCTCTGAGCAACGAAAACCTGTTGACATTTGGAAATGTTCGGACACACAAGGAGACAATTTGCTAGTAATATAATCAACATTTTTTACCTGGTGATCGTAAATTTTTGCTAAAGCTGCAAAAGCATGTATCTTTAAGTATCTTGTTACAGTAGTCTTTAATAATGTGGATATACTGTAAATTGGTTCTTATGATTGAATTAACAAAATTAAATGTCATGTCCTATCAACTGTTGACCAGCGACTATCCTCTATTCTTACTTTTGTGTTGTAAACAAGAGCTGTACTCATGATAAATCTGTGTTCTCATTAATTACAAGTGGCGAGAGACTTGTCTCCCAAAAGTTAAAATGATTTGACTCCTTGATGACTGCTCTCCCATGCCTGAGAAGCAAGTTTTCTTATTTCTTTGTGAGCTCTTAATTCCAGTCTGCAGAGTCTTTGACAAACATTGACAACATTTGCAATAACACCTCTCGTCTTTCCATTTATTTTTTGTTTGCTCTAAGGTTTCAAACCTCTTTCACAATATTCTTTTTAGAATAGTGTCTTCCCTTTATAATACTCTTGGTGTTCTTTTGTCAGGTTTGTTAAACATGTTGCCTTTACTTTCCAACTTATTGAGGTTCTTTATAATGGTTGACTGTGCACATCCAACAAATCTGGAAATTTTGGTAGTTGAATAACCTTTACAGATAGTTATTTTTTTGTTGGTTTACATATTTTTGGTATTTTAAGTGCTCATTAAACAATATGAACTATAAATAATGACATATTATGTATGACACTTTTGTAGGTTATTGTGATTGATGCAATTATCAGACTGATGTAACTGCAATGGAAATACAAATATAACATTATAAATTAAAAGCACTTTTATTGAAGTATTATCAATTATGTGTAGTTATATATTAAAAATTGCCAAGATTGTAACTGGCTTTCAGAGTTTGAATTGCTACAATCTACAGAATTTTGTATAGGCAAAGCACAACTTTTTGGCACCATAGCTGCAAAACAGCATAAATAAGCCAAAAATTACCTATATGTTTATAATCAGATCAAAAAAACTGCAAGAAATAACTTCCTTAATTATTTGGTCGAGGTATATAGTCTAAAGTCCAACAAGGTACTGTCCTTGTAATGTCTATTATTATTATCATCTTTATTTTATTTTATTTTTTTAAGCCTGTAAATTACCTAATGTGCATTACATAAACCAAAAATAAGGATTGGTTGGTGCCAGGCCTGGATTTTTAAATGGGCAAAAAAATTTTATGAATGAACCTATTAATGTATAAAAAGCCCTAAATAATTACTTTACATAAAAAGGAAAAAAAAAATTATATTTATTATTCTATGATTGACTATGTACAATACAAAATAAGTTAGATTTAAATATAAAAGAAAACTTTATCTAATCAAAAACAAAACAAGGTACAGTAGAGCATCAATTATCCAAATACTGATCAACTGAAACATCAGTTAACCGAAAATGTTCCAGTCAGCAAATTCAAATTTCTGCTAGTGCTGTGGCACTGCAGAACTCTCCCCCTATTTGCCAATTTAAACTGTAGGCCTACTTTAATATACTACTTTATGTAAGATATGTATTTGTAAGACGTGTGATACAAAATATATACAGTACAGTTTTTTGTTATTATATCTTTTCGTAAATGATCAGTTATCCGAACAACCCACACCCCAAATTGTTTCAGATAATCGATGCTCTACTGTATATACAAAAACTTTCCCAACACTTAGTTTAAGATAATTCTAAGTTCCCAAAGTTAATTTTATCCCCACAAAAACATGACAAGAAATATGAATCTGGACTATATACAGGAATTTTACAAAATGATCTTACAATTAACTCACCTAACTGTCACCAAGAAGAAACTGCTAATCTGCCATCCAAATTGAAAGCCTTATTCCTAAGTCTTACTCAATCCTTAGCTTTACCTTGTTTTATTTGCAGCTCATCTCTCCTTACGTTGCTGGCTGGGATGATGATGTTACATTGATACATCCACTCAATCCTACTTACATACTTATACTGTAGTTAAGTTACTTAACTCTAGCCATCTTCTTTCCATGTCATGTCATCACCCACACACAGTTCTTTTTTCTTTATTGTTTTGTTTTTCTTTTTAAATTTTCAATGACAATTTGGGGTGAGAGAATCTTTTTTAACTATCCTTTGGAAGTTTCCCCAAGATGTCATTCTGGATTGATGATATATTCAATTCACCCTTGGCATTCATCTGAGTAAGCTGTTTTGTTTTTAGTTTTAGAATTTTGTTTGAGTGAGGTGCGGTGGTCTATCCATAATGAAATAAAATGCTCCAAAAATAGAAAAATGGAGCTAAAAATAATCCCCAGACAAAATAAAACAGGTTGGAATCGACTCCTTACACACTTCTACTTTGTGAACATCTCAGTTGTACCTGCTTTTAAAAAGTATCAGGGTGCTGCCAGACATGACTCAGCACTACTTCAATTAAAACAAACTTGAGCAGAACAGCTTTTTAAAACTTTCTTACAATAAAAACATTTCATTAAAATTTAAATAAAAAAAGTTGGGATCTATTTTGTTACATTAGTTCCCAGACTTGCAACTGTAAGAGCATTATTCATTGTATAAGTTGGAGAATTATACCTTTAACAGTATTGACTTATTCTGTTCTGTATTCTGTTTAATTTTGGCTTAATTTATCTGATCTATCAAAATTTATTTGAATTTAAAAAGTTTTAATAAAAGAGATGAAAATGTTTGTTTCTAATCATATGTTTACTTTAAATAATCTATAATTTTGTATTTGTATATATTTAAAAAGAAATGTATAAACTGTTATATAACCAATAATGATGATTGTAATGCGCATGGTTCCAACTTTGTTTTGATTCATAAAGCCATTTTCACAGAACACTTTAAACCCTCCGGGATCTTACAGGCTTCACAGTGCCTATGTTTTGACTTTTCTTATATTTGGAATTTAATAAAAACTTTGAAAAAAAGAGTGTTTAATTTACTAATTTACAATTACATGTCATCTGAGTTGTAAAAACTCAGATGACATGTAATTGACATTTTCTTCACTACACAAATACTTTTCAAGAAAAAATGCTGGGATCTGAGAGAGTTCATGCAATTGTTAATGTATCTTATTGGGTGCACTATGATATCTTAAGGTCATTATAACATTGTGGTCAACATTTGTGTACATCTTAACACTTAAACTATGTAAAAATATTTTATTTCCCTTTTAATTCTTGTGTGTTGTAATTTTAATAGTAAAAGCTGCAATATATACAGTTAAATATTTAAAATATTATTTTAGTTTGTAATGTGGAAAAATATTTTCAAAATATAAATGATTAGCATAAAATATGAACATGTCAAAATTGTAATTAATAATTGTAGAAAATAATACTATAGTAAAATATATTAATATATTATACTATAGTAA